TGACACCGGTACCCTTGCGTATGTTTTTCGTATTCCCACAATAGATACCAATGGCTTTAGGTCAAAAAGGTCCCTCACCGATTCTCAGTCCACATATGAGTATGAGTGCTACCCCGAGCCGCCCCCCCCCCGTGTACACTATATGACATCCAGTAGATTTCTAGCGGGGACCAATCATAGGGCTGCTGACGCGTCACCGACTAGCGGCTATTAGCACCTTGTTTCATGTAAATGCCATGAACTCAACCAGAGCGCGTATATTGTTTCTTGTTTACATCAGTACTAAGCACTAGTACTTCCACAATCAGTTAGTAAAGTCATACCTTAGTAAAATCTACTTTGATGAACGAATCAAAACGGGATTGTAGACATTAAGTTTTACACATTCAAATGTGGCTGCACTAGCGCTAATGGAGCGACCACTACGTACGGGAAGGAACGGATCTTAGCGAAGCCGAGATTTGTGAACCAAACCCAACCCATCGAAGACGGGCCGCCAAACATAAAAATGGAGGGAAATGACAGACAACAAGCCAACAAAGACAACATCACCAGACCAACAAACTTGGAAAACACCACTTCAAGCGCTAACGTTGTAAGAACTGTGGAACCTCAAACTAGTATGTTTGCGTCAGCGGAAAGGCTGCCGAAGTAACCACTACATGAAAAACTGCGGCGAAAAAGTAACATGGGTTCGTCCCAAATCTAGACGCAAGTGAGCTACAAAAGTAATAGAACCTATGCATCTTGCTTGTTGCTGTCAACTTACCCGTTAAAGATTGAACCGATACATGTACGTACTATAACTTGCCATACCCGGCCAAAGACGACTACATTACTGTTACTCATTTTGTGCTGTATAATGTGTCCTATTACTATCATTGTCCTGTGAATTCCTTAAAACATCTACTGTTAGTTTGTGTAACATTACGTAGTGCTACAATCTGCGTAAAAAGTGGGCTTCATTACGTGTTATCTGCTAAGTCGTGTTGGTATTGAAAACTGTTTTATTTTGCCGTTCTTCTACAAACAACAAGCAGAATTATGAAGATACTCGTTCTCAATACACATGCTGCAAACTAAAGTAATGGCAGTCCTACGAAAATTCTGTTTGTAATGTATAAGCGTTTTATGTCGACGAACAATGGGTGTGAAATACATGTTTTCGCCCATCGTGTGCCACCGGCTCGGTGGTAATTGGCTACTTTACAAGTGAAAGAACCGCGTCCATGGGCCTTGATAAATTATTCAAATTATTCAGCAGCCCTCTGATTGGTCCCCGCTAGAAATTTACTGGATGTCATTCAGTGACGAGCCCCCCCCCCCACATACTAAGACCACAGACGAGGTATACAAAAGCTCTACCGCACTTACACAACAGTTTACATAACCACAAATAATGTGAAACATGCAAGGATCTATCATTGATACCGGAATAGGGATGAATACCTGGCTCCTAGTCCTGCAATCCGCTGGGAGGTCGAACTCAAGAACAGAAACGTGCACCCGGCAGCCATGTTGGGAGCTTCAACTTTGACCCCTGGTGTAGCCGGCCGGCTGGGGTACCCGGCAACATAACTACCCCTGTCACGTGGGTCCATCCAGCGGCGGACTGGTTTTTAGTTCTCCAGAGCAATGTTACATTCTTTTTGTAATATAACCAGTTACATACATTGCACATGCATATTACACCAAGAATTGGTTAGATTGAAGAGAATCCTACAGAAATTTCATGATTTTCATGATTGAAATTGCAGAAATGATACATGTAACCTTGATGTAACGTTACACCACGAAGATTGCATACGTCACACGTTGGGTTACTGCATATAGTTACTGTTTAACGTCCTTGGAATAGCAAAACATTTTTAACGGCAAGAACTTCCAGCACAAATTTCAAAGAATGTGTTAGAATATCGACGGCCCTATTCAATAAGCATGGGTATGAAATATATAGAGTTTTGGCAATGCTTTTTTGGTGGATTTGATTATTTACACGTCAATATTTAACGTTACGTAGTTTACAATATTTGTGAAATGCCTATCTTTTGGCAATGTTTCATTTCAACATGTTCCATTGAATTATGCAAATGACCTCTGCATTAACATAACATACTAAATATAAATTGTGACGTGTGTCAGTTACTTAAAATTCACAAGGTATAAAATTCCAATTATTCACCATTAAGGAATCATACAATTTTCATATCAATTATGCAAATTAGGTCATTATTTACATAATTGATATCTTTTGATGTTCCAACTGCCATAGATTACATACATTACATGTATGAAAGTACTATTAGGCAATGTTCATTTGATTACATGGATGACATCCTCTGGGAATCCCAAAACTGATGCGAAAAAAGTTACTTTCATTATGAATCGTGGTCATGAAGGTTGATGACACAGTGACACATTGATGAGTATGGTATGGCGAATAATCTACTCTTTGAATTCAATATCGTTTTTCAATATATTTTTTTTGCAACTTGCGGTATATATTTGCTCATTAATATTTTGCAACATTTTTGTACGATTTATATATGGTTTAAAACGTTTTTTTGGAAACGGCCGAAAATTCAAGCGCGCGGATGCCATCCATATAATCAAATCAACATGGCCTAATGTAATGATGAAAATAGTCTAGTGCGATGCTCCTTTCTGGACTTGTCCTTTTTAAAGAAGATTTCACCAGAAACTCCCCTGCAGTTCCAAAACAAGCTGCTAGGGGAACAAAACCCACACCACTTATTCCTGACAGGAAAAATTCTGTCGCCAAAAAGTCAAGACCATAGCATGATCAGGGCAAAAGATACAAAAACCGGAAGTTCTGCTGCAGTACCAAGGTCATCCACCAGGAGGCCCATATTTGACTTTTTTTTTGTCTTCCTACGGCCTACCGTGCCAAATATCATCATAATCCATAAAGGCGATAGCGAAGTTATGATGACTACAAATGTGCTGAAAACACACACACACACACACACACACACACACACACACACACACACACACACACACAGAGACAAACAGACCAAAAACAATACCTCGATTTTCCAGCAAACATACGCCTTTCTAGCTCCCAAGCTGCTAGGGGGCCCAAAGTCATGTCACTTCTTCCCGAGCACAAGAGACGATATTGCTACCAACCAAAATCCATCACAAGATATCAAATCTGGAAGTTCCGCTGCAGTACCATAACAAGCCGACAGAGGCCCAGAGGACATTTTGAGCTCTCGGCAAGAGCTACTCACCTACCAAATATCAAGAGAATCCATCAGTAAACCTTCTCGAGGTATTTTGTTGACAGACAGACAGACAGACAGACAGACAGACCGAGACGAAAGCTACCGAAATCATAGTCACATGACCTTCTTGGCGAAGGTATTCATAACATTCAGCAACATTCATAAATTGTTTGTCGGCAAAGGAATGGGCCCGGGTCTTGTAATGATTCTAGTATTGTATTGTTAACGTTGATTATTTTCACGGAAAGTATGACTCCAGTAAAATACAGTGACAAACTAAATATCTTATATCAATCACGCGTATTAAAAGACATGAACATAACACTCGAACAACCAACGATATCCTATGAAATCCCCGATCTGGAGTTTGTACTATTAAATTACTGCAAAATAGCACTTGGCATACCCAGAAGTTCCGTTAACACCGCAGTCAGGGGTGAACTCGGGGTATTCCCACTATACCTCGATTCACAAACACAATTGATAAAATATTGGCTTCGCCTACATAGTCTACCGAACGACAGGATCGTTAAGAAAGCTTATATAACTTCCGTTGAACTACAACAAGACTGGGCTGTCCATGTTCAGGACATGCTTTGTACGCACGGATTTCAAAATGTATGGCTAAATCCCTCCGTTAATACCAACCAGTTTGGACATATCTTTAAAGATCGTCTACAAAACACGTTTCTCTCTGGCTGGAGACAAGGAATTAAAAGTCTTGCCAAACTCAATACCTACTGCAAAATTAAAACCCATCTTTTATCAATTCAAAACAAATCATTTAGAAACAGCATTACAAAACTTAGGATTAGTGCCCACTCTTTGCAAATTGAAAAAGGTCGCCACTGTAACACACCAGTCAATGAGAGACTGTGTCCCAAGTGTCATAAAGGCGTTGAAAACGAATTACATTTTATAATAGATTTCCCAACCAATGATGAAAACCGACGAAAACTGTTACAACATATTACATGTAAGACCAATATAACACTACCCCATACAAAGACAGAGATATTCTATATGTTACTATCATGCCCTGTCAACATTTCCACTTATGTAGGCCAATTTGTACACAATTCCATGACAAAACGAGAAAACGTAATTGATTCCTGACACAATTTATTACCACATTGTATTAATAGAGTTAGATTAGTATAATTAGTGTCTCTCTTTTGTTGCCTTCGACTGAAGGCTATGCCTTCGGAGAAGGTTATGAAATCGGGTTTGCACTGTTTGGCAGATTAGGCACGATAACTCTTGAAGGCAAGGTCCGAGGTTCACGATTTTTGGCAGGCAGGTTGATTTAGGGGTGGCCATTGTCAAGGCTAAAAATGGGCTTCGTTGGGGGTTCCTAAGTCACTGTAGTTGACCTTGGTTTTGGTGTTTT